TGGATGCGATTAATCGCGATTAATCGTTTGACAGCACTAATGATAACTAAAATGTACATTTGAGTAAAACTAAGACTACCACTTTGCCTTTATCCATCAGATCATCCCCTACGTTATCTTCTTTTAAATCATCTCTTAAAACATATCTTTTTTCTCAGGCTTTTACTTAACTTGAAAATACTTTTTTGTTTTGTTTCTGTTTGTTTCTTTGTTTGTTGATGTCTTGCATTACTTATTGTATTATTTAATGATTTCAAATTTTATATTGTCTTAATGCTTTTGTTAGTTGATTTTTCTGATGTTTTGGTTGTGCAGCACCTTGGTCAGCACTTGTTGCTTTTAAGGTGCTATATGAATAAACTTGACTTGACTTGACTTGACTAAATATGATAACTAGTGCCGTCAAGCGATTAATCGCGATTAATCGCATCCAACATAAAATTTTTGTTTACATAATATGAGTGTGTACTGTGTATATTTATTTGGATGCGATTAATCGCGATTAATCGTTTGACAGCACTAATGATAACTAAAATGTACATTTGAGTAAAACTAAGACTACATTAAAAATGGCTGCCAAAATTAATACTGCTGTACAGTTAATTAATAATAATCTTATTGCTAAAATGTCAAGTTTTCTTTGATGAAAACTAGACTAAAATGTTTAGACTTTTAGTCGACTAAAACTTGACTAAAACTAAATAGGATAAGGTTGACTAAAAATTATAAAAACTAGCAAGGACATTTAACACGGGACTAAGACTAAAATTGAAAATAGCTGACAAAATTAACACTAGTCGTAAAAATGACTGAGCTACACCTGTTTGAAGTCGATGGAGTCAATTTAGAGAAAAACTGATTTAAAAGTTCCAAAGCAAAATCACCGAGCAACGTTACATCTTTTCTTAATAATCATTACTAAATTAATAATCACAGTATAGCTATTTTTTATTTTATCTTTGTTGTTATAAGAACCGATGCAAAAAATAAACAACTATAAGAACAAGTGTATTACCTACTTTTTTCATTTTACATCTAAACATAAGCATTCAAGTAAGAAAAACACATAGTAAAATGTAAAAATCACTTAAGTGTGTTCATTAAAAACAGAAGCAGTTCAATCAAGAGCAGCGAGTGATTCCCTCTTTTCTTTTATTGTTTGATTAACATTAACGAGACAGAAGGCGATATATTAAGACATAGTGTAATGCACGGATCTAATATAGTGTTACACATCCAATGTTGTTCCCCAAACGTTCGCTTAAGATATAACAGATTATGATTGCGTGAATACTTAAATATATTTAGCCTACTGTAAATCTGTGTGTGTGTGTGTGTGTGTGTGTGTGTGTGTATCGGGATAGATATGAGCAGAGAAAAGGTACTTCTCTCAGAAAACGTACAAATAAAGATACTTTTAGATGTTTAATTACTATTTTTGAGCACTGGGATGATCACTAGATGAGGGCTTAATGAACTCATTTTTGTGAAAGTCTCAAATTCTACCAAAATCTAAATTTTTTTGGTTAGTCAAGTTATCATTCCATCGTGCAAAGTCACGACTTTTTTGATGCGCATGGTGGAATTTATTCGGTAAATGTGTTTACATTGTAGTCTATGTGCATTTTTTTTTATCGGATAAAAAGTTTATCTGACTCAATTGTGCGCATAGGTTTTTTATGCGCTATTCCAAAATGCGCATAAAAATAGGTGATTGGAAACAAAACTACTGATGCCTCACATCTTTTGCAGCGTTTTGCACATGACGCTGTTTTCTAAAAACACAGTGCTTAAGTTAAAAGTAGTTTTATCTTTAAAAGATGTGTTTGTAACTGCTTGCATTAAGTCAAGACACTACAGACAAAACCATTGTTTTTTTTGACATTTTAGTCTATTTTGCTTCCATTTGTCTTCCACACAAGTTTTTTTTTTTTTACATTTAATTTTTTTTAATATTAAATCAAATTTTTGACACTTTATCCATTTGGATTTGATCTATTTATTTCATATTTTATACGTTTAATTGTCTTTATTTAATATAATTTTATTACGCTTTATCTATTTGTGTTTTATCTACTCGCAGTTTTGTGATTTTGGTTTATTTTGCTCCATATCATGTCTCTTCTTTCATTCTAGAGGAAAGAAACCGTGCAAAATACACATTTATTTTATTGCACTTTCTCTGTTTGAGTCTGTAGATTTCAATCTACAATCTTTCAAAAGAGTTTTGTGTTTTATAAACAGCAAAATTTACTGTTTTATTCCTGTCTGTATTCTGAAGGTTTGTTCGTATTTCATTCACACTGATTTATACAACATTTTACTCCTAAAAACATGGTGAAAATGAGCTTGTTTTCTGTCTGTCAACAAAATCAAACAAGAATTGTGAACCTGGATTTATCCAATCTTCAGATTTATGTGCTGCAGATTTATGGATGCAAATAAGTGCACATTTAATTACGGTAGATAATGCCTTGTTTTAGAAAGCGTGTAATACAGAAACGTTTGTGTCTGTGTTTCTGTGCTTCAGGGGACTTCCAGCCAACATCCAGCTGGATGTAGACGGAGACCGAGAGACGGAGCGGATCTACTCGCTCTACAGCACATACATGGCCAAACTAGTCAAGATGCAGGGTGAGTGAGAGTGAACACACGGTACAGTATCACACTACTGAATGATTACTATATTCAAATCTGTCACATTTACATTCACTTATCCAAAGTGATTTACACTGCATCCACTGGTGGTCAAGTCTGACTTCAAAGTACTTGAATTAATGAAATAGTACACTTACAAGTATACTACTAGTACACTGATATTTGTATACTTACTATATTAAGTATACTTAAAAATATACTTGAACTTTACTTAAGTATACATAATAAAATAAACTTGAAGTATACTTCTTTTTGGTAAGGGTAGTTCACCCAAAAATGAAAATTCTGTCATTAGTTACTCACCCTCGTGTCGTTCCAAACCCGTAAGACCTTCGTTCATCTTCGGAACACAAATTAAGATATTTTTGATGAAATCCGATTGATAAATGATTAATGAGGTTGCTGGCGTGAATCAGTACGATGCATCAGCGTGTCTCATCTGTCAATCCAGAGGCCTGTGGCAGTAAGTCTGTGTACGACGGTCCTGAGCAGGAAGTACAAACGAGACAAGTTCAGGAAAACCAAGTACGGCAGCCAGTGAGTATCACAAGCCAAGTCAGGTGTATTTATATAGCGCTTTTCACTATACACATCGTTTCAAAGCAGAAAATCATGATGTTATTGTTTATAATATCTTAATATCTTCATGTCTTAAAGTAGCATTTAACATATTAGAGCTGGACGATAATATAGTTATATTTTTCGACAAAAAAGAACATCAGACAGTTGAGATTTGATATATAGAATATATATTTACATAGCTATAATGCATGTATGTGGATAAAGTTGAATAGAATAAATGTTTCCCATTTCATATATAGAGCTGTGCGATAAAACAAGTTTGAGTTAATAAATAAAACTAAAACTGAAATAAAATAACTTAAAGGTATATAGAAATATTCAGAAAAGCACATCAAAATAAAGATAAATAGAAATAGAAACATTCTAATAAAAATGACAAAAGCACATAAAATGACTAAAGCAGAAATATAAATAAATGAAAGATAAATAGAAATACAAAACAGTTAATAAAAATGACAAAAGCACATAACTAAATTACTAAAACTTAAAAATAAAGATGAATAGAAATATTAAAAATCTAATAAAAATGAGAAAAGCACATAACAAAATTACTAAAGCTGAAATAAAAATAAGTGAAAGATAAATAGAAATATAAAAAGGTAATAAAAATGACAAAAGCACATAGGCTAATATGACTAAAACTTAAATACAAATCAAGAGAAATAGAACCGTATGTAAAAATCTAATAAAAATGACAAAAACATAACAAAATTACTAAAGCTGAAATAAAAATAAAGATGAATAGAAATATAAAAAGGTAATAAAAATGACAAAAGCACATAACAAAATTACTAAAACTTAAAAATAGAGACAAATATAAATATTAAAAATCTAATAAAAATGACAAAAGCACATAACAAAATTACTAAAACTTAAAAATAGAGACAAATATAAATATTAAAAATCTAATAAAAATGACAAAAGCACATAACAAAATTACTAAAACTTAAAAATAGAGACAAATATAAATATTAAAAATCTAATAAAAATGACAAAAGCACATAACAAAATTACTAAAACTTAAAAATACATACAAATAGAAATATTAAAAATCTAATAAAAATGACAAAAAAGCATGTAATATTACTAAAACTTAAAAATAAGAGAAATAGAGCCATATATAAAAACGACAAAAGCACATAACAAACTCAAATTAAATTGAAAACTGAAAATATACAAATCTAATTTAAAATATGAATGCATACTATAATAGTATACAAAGAATCCTAAAATAATACTGGATTAAAAAAAAACAGTGCTTTGACTTACTGATTAACTTTATTTGATGCTTATAATTCAAAGTTATTGTTGGTCATTTTAACGCATCACGTGTTTGTGTTTACAGGGAACATCCAATCGGTGATCAGAGCTTCCAGTGCTACATCCGCCAGCAGTCAGAAAGCTCCACCTACTCCATCTGACCACACCCACTGCAGACACCGCGCCGTCTCCACGGCAACAGTGGCGTCTCAGACAGGAAATGGCTGACAGGGAGGTGGCCACAGACAAAAGCTAAACCTCTGGTGTTTTTATACGATTTTAACCAATCAACAGCCGCCAGACGATGTAGCTCTGCCTCGCGGCACGTTTTAACGTTTGATGATGTTTTTAAGCTAGGAGACGAGCAGACGTCCTCTAGCGGTGGATGTTTTTAAAACAGAGTATTGGACCAAAGGACAGATTCCACAATCCTTTGCTTTGACAGGGTTTGGTTGGTGGATGTGAGAGCTGTAAGCGTGTTTTGAACTCGTATAGAAATATTCTGCTCTTCCCTCCGTTCACACGTGTCCAGTATTGATGTCACTCCCGCGGAAGCAGCGCTGCATTGTGGGATACGTGTGGTGTGGTGTGTGTTACAGCATGCAGATGTGATGGTTTGTGTGTCCAGTCGTGTTCAGCATCACACTTTTTATACTTTGTGTTATGTCTCACATCGTGTAAATTCACTGATATCCTGATCTGGTTACAGCGCGCGTGTGTGCGTGTGTGCGTGTGTGTGTGTGTGTGAGTCTGTGTGTGAGTCTGTGTGTGTGTGTGTGTGTGTGTGTGTGAGTGTGAGTGTGTGTGTGTGAATCTGAAATGAGGGCGCATGAGTGTGTTTCATTGATTAATTATGAATAATAATTCCCAGTTCATCACATCACACTGTATAGAGATATTTAATATGGACGTGGTTATTTTGATGCATTTCATGAAACCTGTCAAGATCATGTCCTGCTCAAATTTCACCCTTAAATCATATTATATATATACCTCTATATATATATATATATATATATTATAAATCATATTATGTATAAATAATATTATATTATAAATATATATCTAATAATATACAAATAACAATTAATATAATATATTAATAATATAAAAAAATCATTATATACTATTAAAAATCAATGTTATGTATATGTATTTTACAAGCATTAAGACATTTTCAAGACAAACACATTTAATCCCCAAATTCACATTATTTTAATGCAAAATATTTTACTGCAATGTACAGTAGCCCATTTCTGCCACAAAATTAAAAAGGTAATTGTCTTTTGAGTTTATATCTCTCACTTCTGTGTTTTTATCTTGCAATCTGAGGTTGTTGTTTTTTGTTGTTTGTTTGTTTTTTTGCACTATTGACTTTCTCAGAATTGTGAGAAAAAAGTCAGAATTGCGAAATAAAAAGTCAATTACTTTTTTTATTGTTTTATCCCGTGGCAGAATCAAGCTTCCATAGTAAAGTAAATAATAATACTGATGCTTCATATTCTTCATGAGGAAAATCATTTCTGATTTTCTGATGATTTGGGGGTGAAACATGAGCTGGAGATTCACGCTTGTATTCTTTTGTTAGTACGGTGTTGTATTCTTGTTAACACACAGTTCTTGTGTTTCTGTACGTCCCTCAGTGATGCATGTTTCAGTGCTTAGATATTTTAAAACAGCCCCGTTTTCTTGCCCAAATGAATTGCTATTTATTTTTATATCGCAAAATAATGTTTTTGTGGAAACAATTAATCAAATCAAAACTCAGAGTAATCCAAGCGCACAGTATGAAGTATGCAATAATGTGACCTGTGAGTAATTCTGTGTTTGATCTGTAACTAATGAAGGAACTTTGATCACAGAGCCTCGAGAAGGGCCAGCAGTGTGTGTACAGAGCAGCCCACTGAACGAGACACACGTCTTTCTTTTGTCCAAATGAAGGCAATAGCAAAGAGATCCGTGTCCGAGTCTTTCTTCCCAAATAAAACACGAAACATAAAAGAGATGAAAAAGGACTTCAGGAAAAACATGAAGATGCAATATTGTTGTTTTCAATGTTAATCCCTTATGAAAATTAACCATGGATTTATTAGAGCAAAACTGTAGTGACCATGCTTTTTGCCGTATTGATTACTATTTGTATGACCACAGTTTTACTACAAATACAAATAGTGTTGCAAAACCATGGTTAATTTGTGGTTACCATGGTTTAACTATATTAACCATGGTTTTTTGGTTTTATTTATAGTAAAAGCATGGTTCATTTTCGTAAGGGATGGATTTTACTGATCAACTAATGCTGTGTTTCACTCAGTTCAGAGGAAAGTTTTATTGGTTGCTCCTCATGAGGTCAGATGTTTCTGCTAAAACATCTGTGGAGGAATAAAACAGACCCGGTTCATTTAGTAAGCTCACAAAAAAATGTGGAGCAGCTCAGAACATTTGTTGAGAAATGAGTTCATATTGAGGTCTGAGCAACAAAGTAACAATGTTTCTAAAAATAGCAGCATTTACAAAGTAACAATGTAGCGGTGTTGAAAGCTGCTGCTGAGATCTTTTTTCTTTTAGATTGTTTGTTTGTTTCTTTTGTTTGTTCAGTGAGTCAAACCGCAAACTTTTAACTGGGTAAATAAATTAAGAGGTTAAATTAATTATTTATTAAGAACAAATCAGCTGCAATTCCTGTTACGTAATTTCCTTTTAACTTCAGCCTGCCTGAGCGCATTGACCAGCTGAGGGCTACTAGTTTACCCATGGTTAACCCATACTGGCCAGTCATGAGCTTCTGGCCGAACTTGAGGAACTTGAACAGGAAGAACCTCGTGTTTGAGTTCGGTTCCGAACCGGGAGTTTCTGGAGCGCCACAGTTTACACCAAAGTATTTGGTTCATGTTACTACCAAACTGTGGCAACTTGGTATTTATCACTGTCAGCAAATAAGAAATGAATCAGAATGACAGAGAGAGTGTTTAAAGCAGATCTCGCAGTAGTATTGTGGTTTTATATCAGAAACAATAACCATAGTATCTGTGGTAGTTTGGAGGAAAATGTTTTTGTAGCATATGACATGAATATGATGACTGTATGTACTTGTTAGTTGAAATGAAATCACAGTGTTACAATGTTTCTGAAAATAACATTTACAAAGCAACATTGTAGCAGCGTTTCCAAAAGTAACAGTGTTTACAGAATTAACAGTATTGGCTGTTTCCAAAACCAAGTTACAATGTTGCAGTGTTTAACAAAAGTAATTGTGTTTCCAAAATTAACAGTGTTTACAAAGTAACAATTTTACAGTGTTCAACAGTGTTCATAGAAGTAACAAAGTGGCAATGTTTCTAAAAAATAACAGAACTCACAAAGTGACAACTGTAGCAGTGTTCACAAAAGTAACAATGTTTACAAAATTAACAGCATTTGTGAAGTAACAATATTGCAGTGTTTTACAAAAGTAACAGTAGCAATGTGTACAAAAGTAACAGTGTAAGCACCAGCAGACTGCATTACCTTATAATGCTTTACAGACAACAATATAAAGTGATGTGACTGAGGAAGTGCAGTATGGCCATTTTTATTCATACTTGCAGTGTGTGTGTGTGAGTGAGTGAGTGTGTGTGTGAGAGAGAGAGAGTGTGTGAATGAAACTACCCTACCTTACAGACTGACAACAGATAATTAAAATCAATCAATAGTCTTGTTTAAAATACATCACGCTCTGGTTCATCTCAAACTCTCAGTGTTGAAGATGTTTATTCCAGAAATGTTCTCTAGTAAGAGACTCAAGTTAAAGCTGATGTTCATGAAGTTGAGTCTTTCATATACTATAGCGGCACCACAGTACATTGATTAACCTGTGATTAAAATATTAATATACTATTGTATTTACATGGCACTCCATGCATAGAACTTCAAATCAATGATAGATTGATATATGTGACCCTGGAGCACAAAACCAGTCATAAGGGTCAATTTTATGAAATTGAGATTTATGCATCATCTGAAAGCTGAATAAATAAGCTTTCCATTGATGTATGGTTTGTTAGGATAGGACAATATTTGAAAATCTGGAATCTGAGGGTGCAAAAAAATCTAAATATTGAGAAAATCATCTTTAAAGTTGTTCAAATGAAGTTCTTAGCAATGCATATTACTAATCAAAAATTAAGTTTTGATATATTTACGGTAGGAAATGTACAAAATATCTTCATGGAACATGATCTTTACTTAATATCCTAATGATTTTTGGCATAAAAGAAAAATGTATAATTTTGACCCATACAATGTATTGTTGGCTATTGCTACAAATATACCCCAGCGACTTAACACTGCTTTTGTGCTGCAGGATCACAAATGTATTTAGATAGCATTTGTAGTAAACTTGAACCCATCTTTCATACACTAGTACACTCAAGTCCACTACAAGTGGTAACTAAATACATTTTTTAAATACAGAGATGGTATGTTAAAAGCGCATTTTAGTTTATATTCACGGTGTCCCAAAATAGCCATTTGAGTACACTTAAGAAGTACTAAAGAATCATTTTTAAGTACAAAATTAGTGTGCAAAAATAGAGCACTTTAAGTACATTATGGAAGTGTACTTTTTTTTAAACCTGGGAATAAATGCTTGGTAATAAAGCTGTTTGTGATTCTGACTTGTCCAGTTGTGTCAGTGTAGAGTGTGTGTTTGAGCTGCTGCGGTGTGTTTCAGAGATCAGTGACCAGTGTCTGCCGCTGCCGTGTCACACGGACGGTTCTGAGCGCTGTGTGGACGGTCAGGGCTCCTTCACCTGTGTGTGTAAAGCGGGATGGAGAGGTCAGCGCTGCGAGCAGAGTGAGATGACGTTCATCAGCATGATCACGCTCCTCTTCACTCGACTCGTGATGAGCACAGACAACAGAGAGAGAAGAAATCACACTCTTTGATTTCCAGCATGCACTCATTCAAGGCTGTTTTATTCAGTTCATGTAAAGTTACATCTTTGGGACGTGACTTGATGGATTACGTGACTCTCAATTTCTTAGCGACGAGCTTAAATTACAGATCGAGCACTTATGGAACATCTGATTTACTTATGTTAATAAAGTTTATTAAATAAGGCAAAGCAAGTTAAATGACTTGTGAACACAGTTGTTGAGCATAAGGGCGATCTTGTGTGCAATTCTCATTTATCTGTGGAGCAGATATTATAAAACCGATGAAAAATGCTTAAATATCGGGGAAAATATCGGTAAAACCGATTATCGGTCAATTTCTAATTACAAGTGTGAAACTGAATTTTCTTTAATCCCTCCCTTAAACTTTCTTTAATTCTTTAGTCTTTAATGCTTTTTTTTTTTTAATTTACAATAAATTTTCCAATAACTTACAATAATATATCTTTTTTTTGTTTACAATAAAACTAAGTTGCATGTTCCAAATCCAATAGTATTGTACAATTATGATTGAATATATAACAGTTCAATTTACAGCACCTTTGAAAATTGAATAAATACATTAAAAACGTCTACAAAGACGCAAGATGCAAGTCTAATAATGAAAACAACCGATATGCACTATTTATTCATCATTTTTCACAAGTAGAGGTACAAAATTTTTCTGATTTTTTTTTTTTTTTTGCATCAACGTCTTGCTCCAATCAAATGACTGGAGCTCACAATGCATCATAATTACAACTTCACAGGACTTGAATGCATCATAACAACAATGAGGTCATGGGTTCGATTCCCAAAGAATGCATGACCTGATCAGATGAAAACCTTAAATGCAATGCAGTTCAGTTCGGATGAAAGCATCTGACAAATGCATAAATGTAAATAATGCATTTACTGTACATGCATAGGTTACAACGCCACCTACTGCTCAGAAGTCAGTACTAGTGGTGCACAGATGATTATTATTATTTATATTTCTTTTATTGACTCCTTTGGCTCACAGATATTAATGTGTGTGAAGACCCAGAATTCCCTGCGGGCTGCAGCCAAACGTGTCACAACCTCCCCGGCAGCTTCATGTGCGGCTGTGAGAAGGGCTTCTACACCCTCAACAACATCCACTGCATCATTGAGGGTCACTGCACAGGTCAGAGGTCAGAGGTCAGCGCTGCACTTCACGTCTGCCAGACGAGTCCGAGCTCCAGCAGTTCTTCCAGGAATCCTGGGGTTTTCCTGTAAAAGAGAAACACGATTCCCTCCAGCTGTGAGGTCCAGCGTTCAGATTAAAACCACACACACACACTTAAAGGTTCATTATGTAACAGTGTTTTGAAGCTCATAAATCATCAGACAGTTTCCCTTTGGCAGAAACGATGTTCCTGTGACTTTATCTGCAGGATCCACAATGCCGTGCATGTGATTGTGTGGTTTTTGTAGCATGCACTCAGATCTTTCCTCATGTTAGAATAACAGTGCAGTGATGGAATTCTGGGAATAATGAAAACAAATCTGTGACTAGATTACAGCTCTGTTCTTCATGAGGTGCATGCTGGGATGCTGAAGGAGGAGCGATTCATGATGTTTTTCAGTGACTATCTGGTGCAAGATAAGATGGTTTTTAGATCATGAGGAACATCAGGGAAGATGTGGCGCTGTTGATTGTTTAGTGTGTTGTGACATGTTTGACCTGATGCTCATCAGGGTTATTATTATCAATGACTAAAACTAAAACCATAAAAAAATTGTTACTTGAAATAAAAGTAAATACATTTTAAAAATTGTTAAACATAAATTAAAAATAAGTATGCTATTGTATTTATTTATTTAGTTCGTTATACATACTTACTGATTATTTATACTTCCTTTATTTCAGCTTTCAGGTAGTTGCCAAGGCAACATTTTCATTTATTTTAAATTGAACTACTAAAAAAAACTTAAACCAAATAAACTAAAAACTAATCAATGAAAATACTATATAGACGTGAAAAATAAACGAAAAAAATGACGAGAACACAAAACAAAATTTTTAAAACTTTATCTAAAATAAAATTGAAAACAGAAATATGCAAATAAAATGTCATTCGAAATTTGAACAAAAATTATAATAGCATCTAAATGGTTCTGAAATAACAAAATTGAAGTGTAAATTAAAAAAATATTTTAATAAAAATGAATACATTATATATAGACATTTTTAAAAAGAAAATAATAAAAATGACAAAAACACAAAACAAAATTATTAAGAACTTTAGTAAAATAAAATTGAAAACAGAAAATATACAAATGAAATTTACTTGAACAATAAGTATAATAGCATGTGAATGATACCAAATTAACATAACAATTTGTTTTAAGTATAAATTAAAAAATATTTTAAGTATAATTTAAAAATAATTATACATTTTATTTATATATTTATGCCTATTATTAATACTTACTTTCTTTCAGCCTTCAGCTTGGTGGCAAGACAACATTTCTTATTTTTGTTCAAACTAAGTAAATAAACTAAAACTAATCAATAAAAATTAAAAAGATTTGTTTTAAATGACAAAAGCACAGGAACATTTTTAAAAATATATATATATAAAAATAAAATCGAATTTTTTAATATTAACAAAAATTATAATGACACAATGATACTAAATAACACTGCTGCTGATGTTTGTATATTACAGTGTGTTTATGGATCTGTGTGTGTGTGTGTGTGTGTGTGTGTGTGATTGCAGATATCAGTGAGTGTATCCTGTACCCCAGTGTGTGTGTGGAACCTTCTAAATGTGTTAACACTCCGGGAACGTTCGAGTGCCGCTGCCCGCTGGGATACCAGTACAACATGAGCTCACACGAGTGTGTCGGTGAGAGAACAACACACACACACACACACTGATAATTCTTTGTCAGATTTGTAGAAATGTAGCACTGCATCAGTGTCTCAGCAATGGATGCTCTGCAGTGAATGGGTGCCGTCAGAACGAGAGTTCAAACAGCTGATAAAAACATCACAATAATCCACAAGTAATCCACAGCACTCCAGTCCATCAGTTAACATCTGGAGAAGACAAAAGCTGAAACTAATCCAGCATTAAGACGTTTTTAACTAAAATACGAGTCCATAATCCATAATAACGCTTACTCCAGTGAAAAAGTGCATCTCCTGTTGTCTCTCACATATTTGTTTAGAGCTGTTTTGGCTTGTAAAAGCTGCTTGATATGTGCAGATTTCTCTCCTGATTCAGACCAGATGACTTATTCACTGGAGAAAAAATATTATGGATTATGGATTTAGTATTTTAGCTGGAAGCCATGGTTTGAAGTTAAAAACGTTTTAATGATGGATTTGTTTCTTACAAACATAGTTTTTCTCTTCTCTTGATGTTAACTGATGGACTGGAGTGGTGTGGATTACTTGTGGATTATTGTGATGTTTTTATCAGCTGTTTGGACTCTCATTCTGACGGCACCCATTCACTGCAGAGCATCCATTGCTGAGACACTGATGCAATGCTTCTTGCTTGAACTATTGCTTCAATCTGTGTTTCTCCATCAGATCTGGATGAGTGTGAGCAGCAGGTGTGTGAGGGCGAGTGTGTGAACACCGTGGGCAGTTTCTCATGTCACTGTGACGGGCGTAAAGGAGTGCGGCTGGCGAAGGACGGCCGTCAGTGTGAGAAGATCCCCGAGTGTCTGGATCTGTACGACTATAAACATGAGGAGATGCTGTATCTGGGAGAGCAGTTCTCCGGTTTACCCGTCATTTACCTGCGCTTCCGTCTGCAGGCCGACACCAAGTACGCCTCTCACAGTTATCATGTGTTTGTGAGGAATGCTGGGATAGCAGCTGTAACTAAACACTGGCAGGAAGTGTAGCTGTGTCAGAACAGATTGTTCTGTTAGTGAACACAGTTCCTGATAAAACGCAGCTGGTGTAATATATGACCCTGGAGCACAAAATTGATGTATGGTTTGTTAGGATCGGACAATATTTGAAAATCTGGAATCTGAGGGTGCACAAAAATCAAAATATTGAGAAAATCATCTTTAAAGTTGTTCAAATGAAGTTCTTAGCAATGCATATTACTAATCAAAAATTAAGTTTTCATATATTTACGGTAGGAAATTTACAAAATATCTTCATGGAACATGATCTTTACTTAATATCCTAATGATTTTTGGCATAAAAGAGAAATGTATAATTTTGACCCATACAATGTATTGTTGGCTATTGCTACAAATATACCCCAGCGACTTAACACTGCTTTTGTGCTGCAGGGTCTCTTTTTGCAAAACATTTAATTGCTGCTGAATACCGTGAACAAAAATCAGCCGGCTACATAAAACTGGACTCGATTAAGAGCTGTTTATACAATGTATTGTTGGCTATTTCTACAAATATACCCCAGCGACTTAACACTGCTTTTGTGCTGCAGGGTCTCTTTTTGCAAAACATTTAATTGCTGCTGAATACCGTGAACAAAAATCAGCCGGCTACATAAAACTGGACTCGATTAAGAGCTGTTTGTGTGCAAAATAGAGCGGCACGATTCTGGTTAAATTAAGACTTTTTTTTTTTTAATGGAGGTTGTAGTTCTCACAATTCTGAAGAATAAATATTAGACAACTAAACAAAATCATGGAAATGATTCAATGATTCACTCAAGATTGACTCGTTTCATTACTGGATGAATCAGTGTTTTTGAATGAATCTCTTGAATGAATGATTCAAAGACAAATAAATTTTTAACAGCAAGTTTTCACCACCTAAAAAAAATTCTTTTTGCAAAACATTTAATTGCTGCTGAATACCATGAACAAAAATCAGCAGGCTACATAAAAACTGGAATCGATTAAGAGCTGTTTGTGTGCAAAATAGAGCTACACAACTCTGGATAAATTGAGTTTTTTTTTTTTATTCATAAATTACATGTGATTTTTTTAAAACAAATATCACATGTAATTTATAAATGAATGATTCAATGACTCACTTAAGATTTACTATTTTCATTACTGGATGAATCAGTGTTTTTGAATGAATCTCTTGAATGAATGATTCAAAGACAAATAAATTTTTAACAGCAAGTTTTCACCACCTAAAAAAAATATGCGCACACAGGAATTGATAGGTGGAGCTGAAACTTTAAGTTTACAACAAGTATCCGATTCCAGACCCGTGGACACCAAGGACGATAACTATAAAAATAACGATAAAGATACACCAAATTATTTTTTTCCAGCTGATGAACGATACAAACATTGACAACCAATCAGAATCCATCCTGCTATAACGAGCTTGAGAATTTAAAGCGCAGACGAGCGTGCGCTTAGAATAAACAGATGATATCGCTAATATCTTTATCTTTATAGTTATCGTTCTTGGTGTGAACAGGGCTTCTGGAATTGAAATCTCTGGCCGTGTTTCCAGGATCTGCAGGTGTTTGTGGACGGCGTGTGTGTGGCGACGCAGCAGTCTCTGATGCTGTGTTATCCGGAGCGGATGCTGGTGGAGATGAGAGCGTCGGCCGACGGGATACAGGTCACGGCAAACTCCTCCAGCGTGTCTTACAGCGACTCCGAGACGCTCAGCGCGCCTCTAACCAGACTCTCCAGCGCCATGCAGGCTCCTGTCCACACATACATCGGAGGACTGCCAGGTCTCAGCTTCTTCACTTCAGTTTTAGTCTGATTTCTGTTGACACGTGTAACTCGAGTTACATAATCAGAAATAAATACTTTTTTTAAGTAACTAGTAATGTAACACAATTACTTTTTCAAATAAGTAACGCCTGTTACTTTGTTTCCATGTGTTGAGTGACAGCTCTGGTGTTGCCATGGTGACAGAAGTCAGGAGTAAGTGCAGTGCGTTGTGTGTGAACATGATCTTACTGTAGTTCTAGACTAAATATCAACATGTGTTTACTCATCTCACTGCACACAAACACATTCAGTGTTCCTCAAAATGAATAAAAACAATCAAATGCAAACTCAGAATATTATACAAACCTGCAATAATTAGATATGTTAAATAAGACAAATATAATTTATGCATTTATTAATCAATGTCTTTGCTTCTGACCTTCGATGATCCAATTCAAACGTACTAATAAGCAGTGTTGGGTAAGTTACTCAAAAAAAGTAATCCACCACAAATTACTAATTACTTTTTTAAAATTGTAATTTGATTACATTTAAAAAGTAATCAGATTACTAATTACTTTCAAGTTTACTTTACTTTTCAAGTTATCAAACCTAAAAAATACACTACAAAGTGAAACTCATAATTCTTTCCGTAATTTAATATTGACGGAAAAATTACACAAGTATCAAAACAGCTACTTGAATGATCACTTGCATTTTTTCCAGATAACAGCAAAAAGACCTTAAAATGTTCCGTCATTTTGGATCGTACAGATAAGAGTAGTACATCATTTGAACCTGTAAAAGGTCTACTTGTATTTGTATACACTCGCAATATCAACAAAACATTGTGCTTTTGTAAAATAAAGAAAACAAACAGGGTGTGCTTTCTGCCGTCTCAGTCTCCATGAAAACACCCACATCACCTCCGTAAACAAAGCGTGAAGATTCATCAAGTTCATCTAGGATACTTTTCGCGCTGTGAGGAATAAGCCTTGTATTTACCTCAGAAGAAGAACGCGATGCGACGCGCGGCTTAATCCAGCGGAGGATCTCATTCTGATGAGTCATTTATTAAAACTTATATTAGTGTTATTGTAACATAAACTTGTACGCATTTACTAGTTGAACTTTTCCCAAACTATAATGCCAGACTAAAATATGTGAAATCGAGTGCAACATTTTGAAATATGTTGCACTAATGTTTCATTGCATCTAAATGTTTTATGACTTGTCTGCATTTTAGCTCGCATTCTCCGGTGATTTATTAAAGGGCATACTGATGCACAAAACAGTTTTTCTATCGCGATATCACGATATTGATAATTTCATTACATCCCTATCATATACAGATAGGATGCCTTGAGGGTGAGTAAAACCTGGGCTAATTTTCATTTTTGGGCGAACTAACCCTTTAAACAGATGATGTTTTGATGATTTGTTGTCTGTGTGCAGATCTGCCACTGTCCGTCTCTCCGGTCTCGGCCTTCTACCACAGCTGTCTGGAGATCAGTGTGAACGGACGGGAGCTGGACTTCCACGAGGCCGTCAGTAAAGACAACAGCATCAAGTCTCACTCCTGTCCTCCTGTCTCCGCCCCGGACCCAGCCGCTCTAGACAGGAAGTGACATCACTGCCCGAGCCGCTGCATCTGTCTGCGAGTTCCTGTCAGACACATGATTCCGGGTTCTTTGTGTTTTTAATTGATCCGCTCATTAGTCGACTGATGACTAAGCTGTGAAGGAGCTTGAGAAGCTCTATTTAAAGACGCCTCTCATATTCACTGCTGTCGTGTCAGTGTCTTTAACCAGGTTTTTACTCTCACTATAGCGCATCTGTTTGGATCTTGTATATAACACACTCATTTGAATGTGATGTGAATATATTGAACACTAGTGATGCATTAATTGTTGTAATAAAACATGAAAATGCAGCTTGTTGTTGTTGTCATGGAAACTCAAATCTCACCTTCTTAAGAAGCAAAATCCCACACAAATGAGTGTTTAACTGTTTAATTCATTACCGCTTACCTTTGACTTATATGTGGTCCTGAGGAAAACCAGGAATTATGAAATCAGTTTTACTATAAGCTCCCATTAGTTCATGTTGGTTAATGCATAGTGAACCATGAGACAGTATTTATTAATCTTTGTTAATGTTAGTTAAAAAAAACAGCTCTTTAGTGTTAGTTCATGTCTGCTCAGGTCCATTAAATATTAAAATTAAAATGTGTATCTGTTAATATGAATGTATTGGTAGCTCAAATGAGCAATAAATAGGATTAATAAATGCTTCAGAGGTATTTTCCAAAAATAAATGCCTCATTCATTCATTCAAGTTTTTTTAATTGTGAACATATCAGGTCTGTAAAATCATGAAAATTTCAATGGTCTATATTTTTTTATACTTACGCTTATGTTATTTTGTATCTAGTTCTATATTTTCTATGCTGCAAAATCTAGTTTTATTTCTATATTTTTTCTATTATTTATACTTTTACATCTAGTTCTATTTATGTATTTTTCTATATTTAGTTTTATTTATATTTTTATATCTAGCTCTATTTCTGTATCGCTCTCTATTCTATGTATTTAGTTCTATTTCTATAGTTTTGTATATTTCTACAGTATATCTACTTCTATTTCTATCTTTTTTCTATACTTCAATATCTATTTTTGTATACTGTTATATCTAGTTCTATTTATGTATTTTTCTATATTTAGTTCTATTTATATTTTTCTAAATGTATATATCTAGCTCTATTTCTGTATTGCTCTCTATTCTATATATTTAGTTCTATTTCTATAGTTTTGTATATTTCTACAGTATATCTACTTCTATTTCTATATTTTTCTATACTTCTGTAGTTCTATTCCCATATTTTTCTATACTTTTATATGTAGTTGTTTCTATATTCTACATTTGTCTATATTTCTACACCTATTTCTATATTTTGTTCTATATTTCTATATCAATGAGTGTAATCTTTATGCTAGTCTGGTCATCTGAAATGACTGTAAAATCCTGTAAATTCATCTCCTGGCAGGTTTGGAAGCTGCTGTTATTATTAGAAAATGCTCTACTTTTGACTATTTGTTTGTTTGTTTGCTTGTTTGAGGCGGACGAGTGAAGCGTTTCCATGTGACACAGTGACAGTGCTGAATCACTGGACACTAGATCTGCGTTTCTGATGTGTGTTTACAGATGGACACGAGTGACCTGACCTCAGTGTTGCATAAAGAAGCAGGAGGGAGGAAGAGAATGAAAACACTGGCTCAGAAACACACGAGAAGAGTGAGTGAGTGAAGTAAACACTGAGAAAACAGCTGCAGGAGAAGAATGTAACCTCGCATTCGAGCCGTATAAGAACACAGACTGTCAAATCAACAAAAGGCCTGAAATATTCCATACTTTTTTTTTGTTTGTTTTTTAGTATAAGTGCATTATCTGTCTATTTAAAGTGCCGTTAATGTTGTAAGTTCGTGTAAATTGGGACGCACATATAGTGTGAAACAGCTACTGCAGACGCACTGATCTTCACGTGCCAAGTCTGAATATGCTCGTGCGTAAATGAGATTTCAGCAAATTCAGTCTGTGTATTACTTTAGAAGACTTTTATGAAAATGCATTTTGTCCTTGTTTAAAGCCCAATGTACGGCTCTACCCTAGTAAAAAAGTCATATATTTAAAATACATAGTTAAAATCTATTAACATATTTACTGACAGACAACTCGAGACTTACTGATATAAAAACTATAATTAAACTTTATTTGGCGTACTACTTGTGCACAATGCACATTTCTTAATATTTAAGTCTAAAATGTGTTTTAATGTCACTTTTGACGAGGATTGCATGATTTTTGAATAATATCGGTCTTTAAATGCAAACTATTTAACGTGTACCTGAAGAATACTTGCAATAGTTTAGCACAATCAAATACACTAAGCATATCTTTAATTGGACTTCAGCACAATTAAAGTGCATTAAGTACAAAATTAGCTGTTCCAATTTAGCAGACTTTATAGCTACCAGTTTAGTATACTAAAAGTACAATTGCAGGGCATTTTATTAAGTACATAAATATGAAAATGTATTGTAGTATACTTAGCATGAAATAAATGGATTTCAAATACATTAAAGTATATTTAGGGTAGTCCTCATTCACTGTCATTGTATGACTCGAGCAGCCTGAACATTCTGCTGAGCTTCTCCTTTTGTGTTGCACAGAAACAGAAAGTCACACAGGCTCTGAAGGGCACGACGAGGGCAAGTGAATGATATTAGTGTTCGTTTTTTGGACGATCTATCGCTTTAAAGGTATCTTTTCCCAGCGCTTGTGTAGAATGTACTGCAGTGATCTGGTATTGCGGAGGAAAATTCTGCAGAGGGAACTCCCCGCGCACCGCAACTTTCACCAATAAACCGACGAATCTGCTGCTCACGAATAGAGAGAGAGAGAGAGAGAGAGAGAGAGAGAGGAGGGTTGAATGTGCTGCAGAAACGCTCGTGTTCGGCTTTGAATGTGGCGGATCAGTGCAGGATTCTGATCCAGAACGAGCGAAAGTTTGACGCAGAACCAACATGAGAGAGTTAGTGTGGATCTGCTGCTTCGTCCTGCTGTGTATCGGCTGCTCCTCACAGCGTAAGTACGCCAAACGAGCCCTTATTCCCGTGCCTTGACCACTAACTAGTGCGATCAGCAGAAGTTGAGAGTTTCTGCTGTTTTCAGTGTCCGTGTCTCCGAAGGAGGCGAGCGAGTTTCTCCGCAGACACCGGAGAGCGAACCAGGTGTTCGAGGAGACCAAGCAGGGTCATCTGGAGAGGGAGTGTGTGGAGGAGAGGTGCACTAAAGAGGAGGCGAGAGAAGTGTTTGAGAATGACCCTGAGACGGTAAGAGTAATACTAACTAACTAGTGTGCGCTACTGCCCTGGATGCTCTGGATTCCAGCTTGATGTTTCAACCTCATCAACCTGTAATGATTCTGTGCCGCTCCCTAGTTAGTGTGCACTCAATGATGCTCACTAACTAACTAGCGCTGCCGCGATTAATCAGTTTAGTCGATGCATTCGACTCCAGTTTATTTTTGATGTGATCTTTCATCCTCATCATCCTCTTCTGTAATGATAGTGTCGATCCCTAGTTAGTGTGCACTTAATGATGCTCACTAACTAACTAGCCCTGCTGCAATTAATCGGTTTAGTCGCTGCATTCAACTCAGCTTAATTTGAATGTGATATTTCATCCTCATCGTCCTCTTCTGTAATGATATTGTCAATCCCTAGTTAGTGTGCACTTGATGATGCTCACTAACTAACTAGCGCTGCCGCGATTAATCGGTTTAGTCGATGCATTCGACTCCAGTTTATTTTTGATGTGATCTTTCATCCTCTTCTGTAATGACAGTGTCGACCCCTTGTTAGTGTGCACTCGATGATGCTCCCTAACTAACTAAACTAATCGATAGTGTTCCCTGCTGCCGTGATTAATCGGTTTAGTCGATGCATTCGACTCCAGCTTATTTTTGATGTGATCTTTCATCCTCATCTTCCTCTTCTGTAATGACAGTGTCGATCCCTAGTTAGTGTGCACTCGATGATGCTCACTAACTAATTAGCGCTGCCGCGATTAATTGGTTTAGTCTATGCTCTGCGTTCCAGCTGGTGTGTTTGATGTGATATTTCGTCCTCATAGTAATAGTGCCGCTTCCTAGCTAGTATGCACTTGAAGATGCTAACTAATTATTTAATTAACTAGCGTGCACTGCTGCCACGATTAATCGGTTTAGTATCTTCCTCTTCTGTAATGACAGTGTCGATCCCTAGTTAGTGTGCACTTAATGATGCTCACTAATTAATTAGCGCTGCCGCGATTAATCGGTTTAGTCTATGCTCTGCGTTCCAGCTGGTGTGTTTGATGTGATCTTTCATCCTCATCTTCCTCTTCTGTAATGACAGTGTCGATCCCTAGTTAGTGTGCACTCGATGATGCTCACTAATTAATTAGCGCTGCCGCGATTAATCGGTTTAGTCTATGCTCTGCGTTCCAGCTGGTGTGTTTGATGTGATCTTTCGTCCTCATAGTAATAGTGCCGCTTCCTAGCTAGTATGCACTTGAAAATGCTCACTAATTGTTTAATTAACTAGCGTGCACTGCTGCCACGATTAATCGGTTTAGTCGACATGCTTAGGGTTAGTTTCAATTGGTGTTTGATGTGATCTCAGCATCGACCTCTTTAGCAATGATAGTGCCGCTCTCTAGTTAGTGTGCATTCAGTGACGCTCACTAACTATCAAGCGTGCTTCTGCAGCGATAGATTATTTTAGTCAATGCACTGGATTCCAGCGTTTGTTTGATGTACTCTTTCATCCTCATTGACTTCTGATGATTCTGTGCTGCTCCTTAGTGTGCACTATATAGTCTCTAGTAGGACTGCAGTTGTCCACTTGACCGGGAGGCTGTCCCATTTATAAAACATGTATTATCAGTGAAATAAAGTGGTTGTAAACTCAATAGAACTCATGCATAATCACAAACCCTAAATAATCGACAGATTGATTGTTTTACAAACTGCCAGTTTTTCTAGTTGTTCTGAGTCCCTGACTGTTTGCACCAAACTACATACTGA